TAATTAAAAATGCTCATTTGTCCAACCACTCACTCAAGCACGCATTCAGACAAACACATAAACAAATGCGAAACACACACTAGAAATACGAAATGAGTCCCGCATTGCTCATCAGCCAGGAAATTCCTCTCGGTCGTCCATCAAAACATGCTTTCACGACCGCGAGTTGAAAACCGGGTCTCCTGTACACAACATACTTTCGCGCCGTGACGCTGAAGATAGCGAGTGAGCCTTGCAGGCACCAGGTATTCACACTAGCCAACCAGATAGACATTACCAGAGTGATTAGGGTTGCTCTTCTGCATTGAACACGGCCGGGTTGAGGACACCGCCGGCTTGTATCATTGATCATTGATCCAGTCCATCCCTTGTAATGCCATATGGGGGACAGACCACCAATGTCCAAAGGAAACATTAGTTTTAATGCTAATTACGGGGAGGAGTGAACAAAATACGGAACGTTTTCATTATCGAAATAGGCAGTTGGGGAGAGGGCAGCTTGAGATGGCATCGTTGGCCTCCTTTTTTGTGCCTCATATTTGCCACGCGCCCGAAATAAGTCACTATTACTCGGACATCATTCGTACAATTCAATATACCGCTGGTTCAATCTGCCGTTCTTGCCTTCCGCACACTTCAAAACGTAAACCCGTTCTCCCCTTCTCATTGATTCAGCCCTCTTTTTTTTAGGCCAACCAATCAGCGTTCTTCGCTTTTATTCTCAGTTACCCAGGCAGATAGCCTCCTCCAGTCCGACCAATCAGCTCACGAGTTACTATTGTTTGAAGCATGCCAAACTGTACAAAAAAAAAAAAAAACAAAAAAAAAAAAAACGTTACCGCACATACTGCTGAAATAGCTAGACGGGAGAGTAATGCCATTTTCAAGGAGCAAAAATGCCGATACCATGTGCTGAACGTTAAGGTAAAACCCTTATTTTTCTTTTGCACCAGATGCAAGCCACTCTGGTTCGCTTGCTTCTACGTGATTGTTCATCACAAGTTAATACTATCTTGGCTTTATGGGCAATTTCGGGGATTTTCAACGTCTTTTCCCGCTGTTGATTTTTAATAACTACTTGTGGTCTTTGTTTCTTTATTTAAGGAATAGAACCTTTCATCCTGATCCTCCGATAGGCGGCAGACATCTTCCCCAAAGGTGGCTTGATTTTTTATTCTTTTTTCACCTTTGTTAAGCTGGGCTTCTTTGACTTTTCGAGGTGTTCTGCTTTTGTGGAGATTATAAAGATGCGGCAGTAGGAATGGAAACGGATGTGGCTCGTGTGAAATGGACTGGAGAAAGAGATGGTATTAATTTTTTTTCTCAGTGAGGTCATTTTTTAAGGATTGGGGGTCAGTGATTGTGTCATTGGTGGTGGGAGCATGTTTTTTTTTAAATGATGTAGCTAACTTCTTTTTTTAATTTCTGTAATTGCTGAATTTTTTCCCAACCGGGCTCGTATTTTCTTTTGAGTTTCCGTCAATCTTGTTGCATACAACGCCGGAGTGTCGACCTTAGAATTGATAGAAGGAGTGGAGATTGTTGGTGACTTTTGCACTGGGGGGGTTTAAGAAACTGCGGCTCCGCTGTTTGGCTCTTTCTTCTGTTCCTACCAAAAACACGCCATTCTTCCTTTTCCTATTCTTTATTTCCATTTGCGGAAGGCGTCGGTTTTGGGTGGAATGTGGGACCCAACTAGGGGTTTGCTTGTACCAGTCCGAGTCGCTGGTAGGCCCATTACAGGCGTCTCGGGATTATCAGTTTCGGCTAGATGGGAATTTTCTGCCGGCCGCGATGAACGGCATTTTCCGGCCGCAAAAGTCCAAACAGTAGGAGACGGAGACGAAAGCCAAACGATCGAACTTGATATCGAAGTTTCATCACCCGTTCAGATGGTCAGAGGTAGCAACTAGTATTTGGCTATACTGACTGAGGCAGGCAGCGAGATGCTCTCCTATTACGAGAGGAGCGACCTGGAATACTGCTAATAATACTGCGCCGACCTCATATTCAGTTCATAAGATGAGCTTTTTGGTTATCAGTTCGCGGCTAGAAACCTTGACACGATTTTCGGCTGTGGGCAGCAGTACGTCTCACATTTAATTGCTTTTTGGGGTTTGAATCCCAGAGACATCAGTGTTCCAATCACTGTGTCTTTCGTGAAGCAACAAATTTTGTGCGTACGCTTTTCCATCATGAAGACCGACACAATTTTCTTTCCAAATTTCTGTAATTCTTGGGGATATTCCAAAAGCCCATCTTCTTTTATGAGTTGTTCATAACTTTCGGCCCTTTCCAAAAATTTCTGCGATGTTAATTATACAATTGGGGTTACTTTCAACAGGAGAGCGATTCCCCGACCTTCGTATTCTTTGGTGTGTCACTTGAATTGGGTACATACTTGCTGACTTCCTTACTTTTGTCTTCATTAGTATCCGTGAGCTTGGTCTTGTTTTCCTTTTAACGGGTGGAAGTAGAACTGAACGGGTCCTTTATTACCGGGCGCCTTTTGTCGGCCATATTGCTAATTTTAATCTCAATTAATTAATGCAAAACGGGAAAATGTTTTTCTTGTGATAGATTATATTTAAAGTGGATGGCATGTGGGGAGAGAAAACATCAAGAAAAATAAAACTTAAAATACAAATATAATTTCTTCTACAAAGAGAAGTTAAAAATTAAATCTTATCAACAACACAAAAATAAAAATGAAAAATATTAACAATAAAACATAGATGTATATCCTACAACAAAGAAAAAACTGTTTGACTTAAAACGAAAAAAGGAAAATAAACTTGCTTAACTCACAATAGATCGGAAATAAATAAATCAAAGAAATAAAAAGATTTAAAATAAAACTTCGCCCAACGTCAAAAAAGAAAACAAAGTTTTGTCAAAGACGAAAAACAAAAAAAAAAAAAATTAAATTTCGCGGAAAATAAAGTTCGTCGAAAAACAGAAAATAAAGTTTGTCCAAAAAACGAGAAAAATAGAATTTAAACTAAAAACAATAAACTTTAAGAAATAAAAATTTAACTAAAAAGAAATAAACAACAGAAATAAAATAAATTTCGGTCGAAACCGAAAAGGGAAAATTGAGAAGATTAAACGACTAACAAGAAATGTAAACTATTCAAAACGTTAAAACAAATTAACAAAAAAAAAAAAAACGATGTCTGACCAAAAAGTACATTTTTCAAATAAAGAAGAGAATAAATAAACGTAAACTATAAATTAAATGCAAAAAATTAAAACAAAAACAATAATCTGGTAAGATTTTATGTTCAACCAGAAAAATAAAAATAAAGATGGCGGCCAAAACTGACAGTAAAAATGAATGAAAAAAAAATCAAAAAATTGAATTCAAACAAAAACAAATAAAGAAAAAAAATAAGTCAAATAAACTTAACAGACATTTTTAGAGCTAAAAATAAATTTCTTTGTGTGTGTTGACAAAAAAAGTCACAGTTGATCGCAAACTTGAAACAACTCTACCGGTCTGAAAATAGACGGCTGGATCTCGTCAGTAACGAGACTTCAAAGTACCGTAACGAAGATCTCATCCAAAGAATTACCATGAAAGTATTTATGGAAAAACACCGGGAGACAACTTTACGGTGGTGAGAAAGTGACGGAAGCCGAGCTGTCAGGTCAGAACCAGTAATATTGCTGATTCGTCTTTGGCTTTTATCAAGAAGCTCTGAGTATATAGCAGGGGCATCGGACCATATGTGACAGTAATATTCTAAGCATGGGCGAATAGTAGACTTATAGATATGTAAGATGGATTCTGCAGAGAAAAATTGTCTAGTACGACACAGTAAACCATAATTTTAAGCAGCTGGTCTAGCTATGGATTCAAGTTTGTCTTTCTACTTCATGTCAGCCGAAAATATTAGCCCGAGAAAGAGTAATGGATCACTCTTCTGGAGGTCAATATCAGCCATGCTGATGGAAGGCAGAGTGGTCTCTCAGATGATTATTCGATATAAATTTCGTTTTGGAGGGGTTAAAATTAACACGCCCCAGTTAACAACAGACTGAAGGTCGTTTATGACTTCAGCCGCCAATTTGACCTTATTAAACTGATTAAACTTACTATAGAGACAGCAGTAAATGGTTGAAACATCAGCATAGATACCAAGTTGAGAGCTGATGCCATCGGAAAGGTTGTTAATGAAAATTAAAAACAAATTAGGACCCAGGATAGAGCCTTGAAAGACCTTGTTTTGTTTACTGCTTTGTGTAGGAATTCCTTTCTTTCGGTTTTTTCTATCAACATGGTCTCATTCAAGATATAAATTGAAGAATACATCTCCTAGTTTTCTTAGGACCGCCTCGGTGTATGGGTTAAATAAATCTGGTCATATGGCGCATTCTTGTCTTACATCCATGTAATGAATATAAAAAGGGACAGAATTTGTAACTATGAAACCAACAAAGATGGCGACGACACTGATTAGGTTAGAAGAAAAAGAAGAAAAATAGACGAGAACTACAACAAAGAGGAGGCGGAGAAAAAGAAATTGAAGAAGAACAACAAGAAAAAAGAGATGCATGAGAAACGAAGAAAGAAAAGAATTAGATAGAGGTAAAGGAAATGAAACAAGAGAGGAAAGGAGAGAAAGAAAAGAAAAGAAAGAAGTGTGCAAGTGAGACGTGTAGGCGGACAAGAAATTTGATTAAATACCAGAAACATGAAATGGACATTTTAATTTCAGGTTAACTTTTCTTGTTTGCCTACAAAAAGCGAAGGAAAGCATGTACATATTCAATTAGTCTAAGCATTGTCGAAACGTTTGAGATGTAACGCTTTCGGACATTAACAAGATATGACAGAGAAACGTTTGAGATGTAACGCTTTCGGCCATTAACAAGATAAGACGGAGAAAATAAATGTTATTTTTTGAGACATTTGAACAAGACTTGTACTAGAATCGAAAACAGTGATTGCTGTAATTATCGACGGCAGATAACATGATTTACGCATAATTATATTCATGACGAACCTTCACAATATTCTGGATTGGTTCCTTAACCGATCTGGCAATCAATCTCTCTCTCCCTCCCTCTCTCTCCCTCTCTCTCTCCCTCCCTCTCACTCTGTGTCTCTGTGTGTCTTTCTCTCTCTCACTAAAAGATTAGTGTTTATAATATTTTAAATATATATATATATATATATATATATATATTAAGACATGTCTCAATTTTAAAATTGTCTATGTATTTTCAATAGGATCCTCTCATATTCACGGACAAACTTCTTAGTATCCTTTATTCCGAGTACTTCGACATGTGGTACAATTTATATATATATATATATATATATATATATATATATATATATACAGTAGCGTCCAAAACTAAGGGACAAAATTTTAAAACCTAATATTTGTTAGAAATAACAACTGTGAAAAGCTGAAATTTTGACAACTGGTAGTCGTTATCATCCATAATAACATACTAAAATTTGAATCATTTGCAAAGGATAGAAAAAGAATTATAACAATTATTTATTTATTTATTTTCAAATTTGGAACGTCCAAAAGTAAGGGACAAAATTGAGAAAAACAATGTAAACAGTATGCTATATTCAAATTTTTTTTATTTCCTCTAAAGAATAAGTCTTACTTAGTCATATAATTGGCTGGGAAGGGGTTATTAAGGAAAAACTAATCCTGAAATTTGAAAATAGGAAAATAAAATGGAAGTTTCCTGAAATAAGCATTTTATTTTTACATTTCTTGGTGTCTGTATTTTTTTTTTTTTAAATAAAGATTTTTTAAATATAAAAATAATACATAAATTACTCATCTGCTAATTTCAGGCGCACCCCACATTTTTCAATGACCTGGAGTGGAGTAATTATATTGAATCAATTGCTAGGTCTACTAATCGGTAAGTTCGTTCACTCTGTCGTGCCAAAATCCATCTTATACATATATGTCTTCCTTTGTCCGTGCATAGAATACTGCTTCGACATCCGGCCTTGTGCCCGTGCTATATATCTCGAGATAAAATCTGTAATGTAACCGATCTGCACCTGGCATCTTGACTTCAGTCACTTTCTGAACGTCATGATGTGAATTCGCTATGACTGTTATTCTTATGAGCTTTTTGTTAGACATTTTCATGGCGGTCGTCTTCGAGTATAGAATCCAGAGGTTGGCAGTGAATATTTCGGAGACAGTAGGAAAGCGTAGTGCAGGTTCGCAGTGGATATCGCAGCAAAGTAGCAGAGCGTAGTTCTTCCGTCTGTCATTTTCGCCGGACAAGTTGCCTCTGGTCCTTCCGGGTAGGAAAACAAATGGCTGCCTTTATACACGACGGATACCATCTTCAGCGGCTCCTGATTGGTTAATCTTCTATTGGTAGACTATAAAGGGAAATAAGTCATTCTGACTCGCTCACTAGTTACATATACAGTATATACACAAAAAACTGTAACACTTTTCTCCTTAGTGCCTCGGTCGCATGAATTTTAAGCGTTTCGCGTATAACTATATCTGCCGTAACAAACAAAATTAAGATTATAATTAAGGGGACAGATAAGTTGAGCATTTCATTTTAGTTGTTTCTATTATTTTATTTGTTACTATTAATGCTCTGTTACTTGATGTTGATCTCTTTAATTAGAAAGACTGTTTGCCTTAAAAGCGTTATCTCTCACTATTCATCATATATTTGTTTTTTCCTATTTATTTTATTTGCTACTATTAATTCTCTGAAACTTCATATTGATCTCTTTAATTAGAAATACTGCTCGCCTTAAAAACGTTATCTCTCAATATTCATCTTATATTTGTTCGTTCCTATTTATTTTATTTGCTACTATTAATTGTCTGCGACGTGATATTGATCTCTTTAATTAGAAAGACTGCTTGCCTTAAAAAGCGTTATCTCTCACTGTACAACATATTTGTTTTTTTTCTATTTATTTTATTTTCTACTATTAATTCTCTGCGGCGTGATATTGATCTCTTTAATTAGAAAGTCTGCTTGCCTTAAACGCGTTATCTCTCAATATTCACGATTATTTTTATTTGTTTTCTTTGGCATAACACAATTTTTTGTTATCGTTATTTATATATACATGTACATATGTAAGACAATTTAGATAATATTGAACTTTATATATATAAAGCATATAATAAATTTGCACTACATATATATATATATGTGTGTATGTCTGCGTAAGAGAGCAACAGAGAAAGAGAGAGAGAGAGAGAGAGAGAATAAGATAAGAGAAAGGTAAATATGTAAAATAATTTAGACGCACCTTTACCTTGGCACGTTTCAGTGATTATCCGACGTCGTCAGACATTGGGGATGATAATCAGGGAAACATGTCGAAATAAAATTCTTCGAAATTGTATGTGTGTAGACTGAAGTCTAAAAAAATAAAGACCGCTACTTAATAATGCATAACTTCTACCACAGCCTGGATAACGGCGGCTGCGCGATCACACATGAATCTCCGATGAACTGGGATGTTTATGTGGGTGTATCTATCCGCGCGAATTTCCAAGTCTGTCTGTTCTGTTATGTTTATTGGGTGTAGGCGGAGGGAATTTGATGAAATGTACAATATGTTTCATACATGCAGAATTATCTATCTATCTATCTATCTATCTATCTATCTATCTATCTATCTATCTATTCGAGACTGTTTAAATCTATCTAAGTCTATGAATATCTATCTATCTATCTATCTATTTGAGGCTTTTTAAATCTATCTGTTGCTGTTGAAATCTATGTATCTATTTATCTATCTATTCGAGACTGTTTAAATCTATCTATCGATTTGAGGCTGTTTAAATCTATCTATCTATCTATCTATTTGAGGCTTTTTAAATCTATCTGTGGCTGTTGAAATCTATGTATCTATTTATCTATCTATTCGAGACTGTTTAAATCTATCTATCTATCTATCTATCTATCTATCTATCTATTCGAGACTGTTTAAATCTATCTAAGTCTATGAATATCTATCTATCTATCTATCTATCTATCTATCTATCTATCTATCTATCTATTTGAGGCTTTTTAAATCTATCTGTTGCTGTTGAAATCTATGTATCTATTTATCTATCTATTCGAGACTGTTTAAATCTATCTAAGTCTATGAATATCTATCTATCTATCTATCTATTTGAGGCTTTTTAAATCTATCTGTTGCTGTTGAAATCTATGTATCTATTTATCTATCTATTCGAGACTGTTTAAATCTATCTATCGATTTGAGGCTGTTTAAATCTATCTATCTATCTATCTATTTGAGGCTTTTTAAATCTATCTGTGGCTGTTGAAATCTATGTATCTATTTATCTATCTATTCGAGACTGTTTAAATCTATCTATCTATCTATCTATCTATCTATCTATCTATCTATCTATCTATCTATTCGAGACTGTTTAAATCTATCTAAGTCTATGAATATCTATCTATCTGTCTATCTATCTATCTATCTATCTGAGGCTTTTTAAATCTATCTGTGTCTGTTGAAATCTATCTATCTATTTATCTATTTGAGACTGTTTAAATCTATCTATCTATCTATCTATCTATCTATTCGAGACTGTTTAAATCTATCTAAGTCTATGAATATCTATCTATCTATTTGAGGCTTTTTAAATCTATCTGTGTCTGTTGAAATCTATCTATCTATTTATCTATCTATTCGAGACTGTTTAAATCTATCTATCTATCTATCTATCTATCTATCTATCTATCTATCTATCTATCTATCTGTCTGTCGGTCTGTCTATGCTGTAACAATAAAAATTTACCTTTATTATATAAGGCTTATCTATAACACTGATAAATATGTGTAAAGAGTCATGTTAATGTGGATGCCAGGGCAAATATTTTGCAGGCCGCTTTACTTTTCGAGGATTTATCGAAATCATTCGATTTTGGACATAGGGGCAAAATGCGGAAGATTCTTCTGGCATATGCCATTCCCCTAATACAGTAATTGCCATAATAATGCTTTACAAAAACACCAAATCTTTCTTTAGATCCTTAGACGGAAACACTTTCTTTTTTGACATCAAAGCAGGTGTCCTCCAGGGTGACATCCTTGCACCTTTTCTCCTTGTTATCACCCTTGACTATGTATTGGGAACTTCAACAAGCATTATCATCTGGAATTTTACTTTTTGTAGATTTCTCTAAAGGCTTTGGTACTGTACGTAGGGGTAAAATGGAGAAGATCCTTCTGGCATATGGCATCTTCCCTGAGACATTAACTGCCACAATGATGCGATACAAAAATATCAAATCTTTCTTTAGATCCCAAGACGGAGACACCATTTTTTTCGACATCAAAGCAGGAGTCCTCCAAGGTGACATCCTTGCACCTTTTCTCCTTGTTATACCCCTTGACTACGTATTGAGAACTTCCGTCTACAAACATCATCATCTAGGTTTTACTTTGTCACCAAAACTCTCAAGTCGATATCCTGCAAAAAGGTTAACCGGTACTGACTATGCAGATGGCGTAGCTATCACTATAGACATCACTACCAATGCAACAGTTCTTCTACATCATTTAGAAAATGCTGCTAACGAAGTTGAACTCATGTCAATGCCGCTAAAGCTCATAAGCTTCAACCAGTAAGGCTCAATACAAATGATCTTAGATTAATCAATAAAAGCTGTCGAATCTTTCACATACCTAGGAGGCGAAATAAATTCCACTGAAAAGGATGTGAAAATTCGCATAGCCAAGGTTAGGGCCGTCTTGAATAATATGGATGTAATCTAGGGATCTGATCTTCCAGACAATGTCAAACGGAGATTATTTCGAGCCACGGTCGTGTCGGTTTTAATGCATGATGCAACTGCTTGGATAATAACTAAATCTCTAAACTCTACAAACTGTCTCAGGTGAATCAATAAAATCTGTCGAATCTTTTACATACCTGAGAAGCGAAATAAATTCTATTGAAAAGGATGTGAAAATTCGCATAGCTAAACCCCAGGCCGCCTTGAATAAAATGGATATAGTTTTGAAATCTGATCTGCCAGACAATCTCAAACGGAGATTTTTCGAGTCCTTGTAGAGGTAGTTTTAATGTATGGTGTCAATGCTTGGACATTAAGTAAAATTCAAGAGTCTAAACTTGTTGGAAACTATACTCGGATACTGAGAGATATACTCAAGATTTCTCTTGGAGAGAAACACCCAACTAAATCACAGATCTATGGAGCCATTACTGAAATTTCTAAAACTGAATTCATAAGCCACAACCAGCAAAGCTCAAAACCTTCTCAGGTGAATCAATAAAATCTGTCGAAACTTTTACATACCTGAGAAGCGAAATAAATTCTACTGAAAAGGATGTGAAAATTCATATAGCCAAAGTAGCTTTGAATAAAATGGATGTAATCTGGGAATCTGATCTACCAGACAATCTCAAGCGGAAAATCTTTCGAGCCACGGTAGATGCAACCGCTTGGATAGTAACTAAATACCTAAACTGTATAAACTGTCTCAGGTGAATAAATGAAATCTGTCGAATCTTTTGCATACCTGAGAAGCGAAATACACTCTTACATAACTAGGAAGCGAAATAAAATCTACTGAAAAGGATGTTAAAATTCGCATAGATAAACCTCGGGCCACCTTGAATAAAATGGATATAGTTTGGAAATTTGATTTACCAATTTCAAACGGAGATTGTTTCGAGCCAATGTAGATGTGGTTTTAATGTATGGTGCAACTGCTTGGACATTAGCTAAAACTCGAGAGTCTAAGCTTGATGGAACCTACACTTGGATACTGAGAGATATACTTAACATTTCTCTTGGAGAGAAACACTAAACTAAATCACAGTTCTATGGACCCATCACTGACATTTCTACAATCTAACGCGAACTAAAACTGAATTCATAAACTAAAACCAGCAAGGCTCAAATCAAACTGTCTCAGGCGAATCAATAAAATCTGTCGAATCTTTTACATACCCGAGAAGAGGAATAAATTCTATTGAAAAGGATGTGAAAATTCGCATGGACTCATGTCAATGCCGCTAAAATGTCACCGAGGGGACAACACTGGGCTGCCTTGAATAAAATGGATATAGATTGAAAATCTTATATGCCAGACAATCTCAAACGGAGATTTTTCGAGTCCTTGTTGAGGTAGTTTTCATGTATGATGCCAATGCTTGGACATTAACTAAAACTCGAGAGTCTAAGCTTGTTGGAAACTACACTCGGATACTGAGAGATATACTCAACATTTCTCTTGGGGAGAAATCACAGTTCTATGGCGCCATTACTGACATTGCTAAAACTGAATTCATAAGCTACAACCAGCAAGGCTCAAAACCTTCTCAGGTGAATCAGTTAAATCTGTCGAATCTTTTACATATCTGAGAAGTAAATTATACTGAAAAGGATGTGAAAATTCATATAGCCAAGGTCGCTTTGAATAAAAAGGATGTATTCTGGGAATCCGATCTACCAGACAATCTCAAGCGGGGATTCGTTCGAGCCACGGTAGAGGCGGTTTTAATGTATGATGTAACTGATTGGATATTAACTAAACCCCTAAAGTCTAAGCTTGTTAGAACCTACACACAGTGGAACTTCCTTCTCAGCTCTGGAATACGGAGGGAATGTGGGCGGTTTGCTACAATGTGAGTGGCAGGACAGGTTATAGCCGTGAAGGTTAGAACTAGTGGAACCAAGGTTATATAGTTGTCCGGAGATAGATAGATAGATAGATAGATAGATAGAATTTATTTTGGTTACTTGTATGTAAAAGATTCGACAGATTTTATTGATAATTTGCCACTCACAAGAACTCGGAGACACTTTTGAAATCTATCGAGACTGGAACGTTATCAGTGAGCAGCCACCGCCCACATATGATGATAGTAACCCATTTTGGATTGACCTGGCTCTTGTAAAAGTATAGAACATCATGTGGAGTCAGGTGACTTACTAGAGCCGTACAAGGAGCCGACCATTTTTACCTGCATCTTTAGCAGTACGTATGTACGAATTCTACTTGAGTTAAGGTATGTGTTTATGGCCTGATAGTCTCCCAAGGCACGGTGTCTCACCGACGGGACGTCTATTCATAGTGACTGGCGGTACTTCGGTGTCCGATCGGTTATTATGGAACGCAACTAGCTTTTCGAGGCATCGAATGTGACCAGCCAGGTTTTCCCCCACTGAGCAGTTCGTGCTCGATCAGAAAAGAGATCAACTGTCAATCTCTGACCGTCAAGACTTTTTAGAGGTGCGCCCGTATACCGTCGTATCATTGGCAAAGAAGATCACAAATAACCTGAGAGGGTTGGTCCGAGAAGTGACCCCTTGGGGAAGACTGCATTGACCACCAGGGCTCCGAATGATTTGCTGATAATAATTACCTTCAGGGACCTACCCGTTAGGAAGGATTTAATAATTGAGAATAAGATTACTGCTCTGGACACCTGGCCATGATGCAAGACGGGCTACATTGACCAGATATGTTATGAGAGAGAATGCCGCCCAGATGACCTTCCGACCTTGATGCAAAACCGTGATGGTCTCAAGGCCTCATGAATATCTGAGCTAGCTCGACCGAATATATATATATATATATATATATATATATATATATATATATATATATATATATATACGGTAAGATGTGTGTGTGTGTGTGCGTGCGTGCGTGCGTGTGCGTGTGTGTGCGTGCGTGAATGGAGGCTAAATGGCCTAAATATTGCTTTCAAGTATGGAAAAGTACGTCACCGCTTGGGATTAATCTCAATGTCCACGTTTATATTTACATAAGCCCTATCTCCTACACTGAGCACGTTCAGCATTAAATATAGTATACCTTAAGACCATATCTTTATCATATATATATATATATATATATATATATATATATATATATATATATATATATATATATATATATATATATATATATATATATATATATATATATATATATATATATATATGTTTCATTGAATGATATGGACATATTGTGATTGCTTATTTTGTACTAACCTTCTCCAGTTGGCCAATCAGTTCCTTGCTATTATTGCTAACATTCATCAAGGAACGCGTATTATTTTTTTGTTTTACCCAAGTACTTTAAACCATTTTCTAAGATCATCTTTAGGGCTAGATTACAAATATAAACGTATTGTAATAATATTTGTGACTTACCCCTGAAGATAATCATAGAAAAAGTTGAAAGTACATGAGTTTAAAAAATAAAATAAAAAATAAAAAAAAATACTATGGCGTCTTCCTTGATGATTTTCATATTCATCTTAATATCAGGAAACTGATTAGAAAGGTTCTGTATAAAAAAGAAGAGAAAATCTGTCTATATTACTCAACGAAACATGTTTGAATGAAGATACGCTGCCTATATATATATATATATATATATATATATATATATATATATATATATATATATATATATATATATATATCAATGCGTGTGTCTATTAAAATAATGAAGAAAACTTGTGTCTAAAATAAGATACCCCAATTAAAGGATTCATCGATAGCAAACACCTTCACATAGGCACCGGAGGAGACGAACTGGGAATAACAATGTTGTATTTTCTTTTGTTGGTTTCTTTTGCTAGTTTTTTTTTTTTTTTTTTTGCCGTTTTTTTTTTTTCATTCGATCGTTTAATCAACTTTCTTTCCAACGCGAAGGTGAGCAGTTAATATAAATATATATATAAATATTTATATATATATATATATATATATATATATATATATATATATATATATATATATATACAAACATTTTCCTGCTTACTTTCATGAATTCAATATTTCATCTCTCTCTCTC